GCTACTAGGAACAAGGACGCTACTAGGGGCTCCTGGCCTTAACTAGGAGCAAGGACGCTACTAGGAACAAGTGCATCGCTTCTAGTAACAAGTGCCTTACTAGTAGTAACAAGGACGCTACTAGGGGCTCGTTCGCCCCGCCTGGAGCGAGTCATAGCGGATACCTTGGTGTTGGTGCCATGACAGCACAGCATTGCACAGCAACCACCAAAGATTCCGCTCAAATCACTTCACAGCTTGGAGTCGGACATAATTTCGGTTGCGCGCTGGGTTTGCTTCACCGGAACGAGCTAACCAAGCATTGGTGTCTTCCTCAAGTTCTCAATCAGAGCCGCTTCATCACTAAGGTGTGTTCCCTTCACTTGGAAGGAAGAGCTCACAAGAATATCAACCCTGCTGAGTCCTTGAAGGGATGGTTTGGGCTGTCTCTTGGCAACAGCTCCGGCCTGAGGCACCATGTTGGTCTTGGTTTGACTATGTTTGACTGTTGTAAACTTCGGCTTCCCTACTGTCTTGTCTTCATCAGACACTACAATGCTCTTGCAACCAGTCTTTTCAAAATCAAAGGAACACTGTAACGTGCGCGCAAACCGTGATCTGAACAGAAATACACTTGGCCTCATGTCCGTGCCTTGTGGAGCAATAATATGTTCTGCTCAGAAGCTACAGTCCGGACCGGGACAAATGAATTGCGATCCAGACTGGAATTACATGTTCAATCTCAAGCACAAGTGCTGAAGGATTCATGGTATAAGCCACTCTGTCAGGCAATGCCCCCTGTTGTATCTCCTATATCCTCCCCTTCGTTTGCCAGCTCGTGGAAAGCTGATCCGAAACTACTCTTTCTGAGAAGTGTGGAGAGAATAAAGCCCGCACCAATCAATCTTAATCTCAGACTCAATCAGTAATTGAGTAACCAGCCTGGGAAGGGGGTGCCATATCAATATGATATAAGCTACAGTCAATTTTGTTTGTGGCTGAAGGCCATCAGGATCAAGTGAGACTATGATCCTGTTCCATGCCCATCACGTTATCATTTTGGTGAGTATGGTATCTGTTTTTTGAGAAACACTTGCTTTTTTAAATTCCACAACATTCAATGATTGCTTATCACGCTTACTAATTTGACAGTAGCTCATGTGCATCTTGCTTACACATGTACATATTTATGTACAGCATGAGGATGCATGAGGTTCTTGAAGTGTATTTTCCAATGCATGAGCTTCCAAGATTGCAATCTCAGGAACGCACAGCTTTCCATACTTGCGATTCGAGTTCCTAATTCCAACAACTGCAGACACTGCAAACAAATCCAGCTCAGCGAATTCTTCGCAATCTGGTGACACAAAGCTAGGAGAGTTGACCCTCAAGAGGATCTCAGGCTCGCACCAGTGCGTCTGGTTTCGCAAACCCAGCAGAATTGGATCTTGCAGCTTCTGTACACCTGAGAAATAGTCCAAACAAGCTTGAAAACAACACAATACGCAGCTTTTATGGATATTGCAATATGCATAGCCATGATCTGTGATATGGCAAGAAAAAGCTTCCACTTTGAATCCTTTCCATCTTCGGCAGCTTCAGCTAAGGTGCTGCTCTCAGTTCCCAGGGCTGGACTGAAGTTGCACGGCACCTGAAGTGAAGATAAGTGGGGTCGAGATCCTTTGGTCAGCAAGCATTTCCGAGTGTGATGCTTCTTTTGCACGAGGAGGAATGGACACCCTCAGCTGTCCGGTGCAACATGTTAGAGAGTGATGAATATGACACATCTTTTGGCTATGTATATATTTACAGTATAATATAATTCAATATATTTTAGTTGATAGCTCGATTAAAGAGAACAAATATGAATTCCTTTTCACGCAACCAAGACCTGGGATTCTGGCTGCGCTGCTGACTCGCCTCTAAGACGTGCAGCTTCCTGTATCCTAAGCACGGCGACATGGGAAGATTAAACCGTTCAGTGACCTTCAGGCCCTGAATGGCGCTGAGGTGTTCTGAGGCTGAGAATTTCACAGCTGTTGGCGAGTTTTCTGCCGGACTTTGAAAATCTGACCCTGGCACTGTAGGCTTGGCGATATGAGAGCTGTCCATAGCTTGATATGAGAGCGTCCCAAATTATTCTTGTCTGTTCGGATGAAAACACAATAAGAACTGACATTGATGCAATCAAAGGTGTGCGATTTCGGCAAACGCCTGGTAGTATTCGTCAGGAGGTGGACCTGCACAACTGTAGGTCAAATACCCCAAGAAATGATAACAAGAAGACCACTTTCTCTGTGTTACATTGTGTTACAATGTCATTACCACCATCCCGAATCTCACAATATGGTTTCATTCTTGAACTAAGAATACCAACAGTGGATCGGGGAGTTCGGGTTGTGTTGCACTGGAAAGGCAACTCAGGATCAGGAATATGCGTGAGGATGCTTCAACCATGGTTTTGTGGGTGGGGATTCCACAAAAAAAACTACCGGTACAGGCCTGAATGCTGACTCTGGAAAACATGTCTTTTCAGTGACTGCAGAACACTGACTGATTGAATACTTTTTCTGCGGATGGCGAAGTTTCACTCACCAGAATGTAAAGTGCTGAATTGGGTTCTAATAGATTGTTTGAATGGGGTTTCACAGAATGGCCAAACTGCGACGGGGTAAAGCATGGAGGATGACAAGGCAACAAATCGAATAGGTAAGCGAATAGCGGCATAGGCAAACGCATCAAACCACGTCACATGTTGAGCTTCAATGGTAGCTTCAAAAAATATCTTGCTCACGTCACCTTGAGTAGCGTTCTTGCTCCTAGTAGCGATGCCAGGAGCCCCTAGTAGCGTTCTTGCTCGTAGTAGCGATGAGAGGACGTGCAATCCGGGTCGCGGTTCACGGCAGCCACTCAGCCACTCAAGATTCCGACCGGCCACTCAGCCACTCAGCCACTCAAGATCCTGAGTGACTGAGTGGCTGAGTGGCTGAGAGGAAGAAAGTCTGAGTGGCTGAGTGGCTGACAGGAAAAACAAAGTCTAAGTGGCTGAGTTGCTGAGTGGCTGACAGGAAGAAAGTCTGAGTGGCTGAGTCGCTCGGCGAAAATCCGAACCAAGCCAACCCGAATCGGCCACCAACTGGTCGCTGAGTCGGAGTTCCCGCACCAACCCGAAGCGATCCCTGCAAGCAAGCCCGAACCAAACCAACCCGAATCGGTCACCAAGTGGTCGCTGATTCGGAGCGCTCTCCCCAACAGGAATCGATCGCCAGGAGTCGCCGCAGATGTCGTGGCAGGCACAGCACTTCGTGGATCTTGGAGTGCAGATTTCGTGGAAGGCACAGCACTTTGTGAACCTCGAAGGGCAGATGTCGCGGCAGGCGGAAGCAAGAAACCCGGCGGCGAAAATCCACCAACCCCGAGGCGGTCGCCGCCAAAAAGAATGGAAGCAAACCAACCCGAATCGGTCACCAAGTGGTCGCTGATTCGGAGTGCTCTCCCCAACAGGAATCGATCGCCAGGAGTCGGCGCAGATGTCGTGGCAGGCGCAGCACTTCGTGGATCTTGGAGCCACTCAGAAACCCGCAGCCACTTAGAATCAGCCACATAGACTTTTTTCGCTTGCGTCGGCTTTGGCTCCAATAGAACGGCTGTCTAATTGTAGATTCTACAAGTAAGAATTGCACATACTCTCAGCGGATTTTCTTCGCACATACTCGCAGCGGATTTTCTTCCTGTCAGCCACTCAGCCTCTCAGGCTTTCTTCTTGACTTTCTTCCTGTCAGCCACTCAGCCACTCAGCCTTTCTTCCTGTCAGCCACTCAGCCACTCAGACTTTCTTCCTGTCGGCCAATCAGCCACTTGGACTTTCTTTCACTCAGCCACTCAGCCACTCAAGATCCTGAGTGGCTGAGTGGCTGAGTGGCTGACAGGAAGAAAATCCACATTTCCACGTACAATCCGATGCCAGGACCCCCTACTAGCGTTCTTGCTCCTAGTAGTAAGGCCAGGAGCGCCTAGTAGCGTCCTTGCTCCTAGTAGTAAGGCCAGCAACCCCTAGTAGCGTCCTTGCTCCTAGTAGCGATGCCAGGAGCCCCTAGTAGCGTCCTTGCTCCTAGTACTAAGGCCAGGAGCCCCTAGTAGCGTCCTTGCTCCTACAAATAGAAACATGGAGCCCTGATCCATGTTGATCACATCCTGCCTTGCAGCTTTGGACAATACTGCCCAATAGGAGCTGGATTTGAGATCGTGGCAATCCGGATGTACTGCGCCTAGGCCGGACAAGGAAGAGTACACATTGTAGTTTTGCATATCTAGTAATCTAGTTCCATCATATTTTTGAGGCAGTCCCAAGCATCTTGGGAAGGCTTTTCAAGTGACTGAAGCGACTGACTAGTGACCAGCCCGTCAAGAAATGCCGTTTTATGGAAATAGCAATTGATGGTTGAGCAGCGCACCCGGTCTTGAAGATCGTGGGTTTGGCGACGTGCCCAGAATGCCTTCTCCGTCTGGTTCTTGATACTTAGCATGCAAACAAAATTGTTGCTCTGTCCGTGAGAGCAAAGCCTGAGTCACCAACTCCCTGAGAGTGCTTTTCATTTCGTCTCTGATCCTCTCCTTTCAGCGGTAATCAATCAAATTCTCAAAACAAAGTCCTACTGACTCCACATCCTTTACTCCTGCGTGCTAAGGATTCCACATTCTTACTTCTCAGTGCAGTGATTTGATGCCGAACCTCTTGGAGGTTGGCCTGCAGGTTATTCACAAATCGAAACATCAACGATTCATAGTGTATCATAGTGTCAAATTCGAGCTTCCTGCGACCACACTGCCTCCTCCTCTACCGTTGAGGGATATGACGGGGCAATGTAGCCAGCTGCCATCTCATCAAAAGGCCTATATGATTTATATATACGTGTCTACTGCGGCTGAATAGAAATCACTGCAGATCTTTGGCAGGGCGTTTCATGGCGTGATAGCCCAGAATGCATTTGCAGGACTAAGCATCTGATGGTTACGTGGATGCACCCTAGTCAGAACCCGATCATGCTCTGCTGAAGCCAAACAGCAGCAATATCCACGAACAAAGCTTAGCGGCACTCCTTCGACCTCCAAAAGTCACCTCCGAAAGCCTGTACCACCAGTTGCTGCCGCCCTTCTTACCTTTTGTCAAACAGATTGCCCCGAAGGCCCCCAACGCACCTGCGAGTGTTTGGTGCCAGCAGTGGCAGAAAATCCGAGGGAAACTCTGTACAGTGGCGAAACAAATGCAACAAGAGGCACCCAATCCACACGGCCAAAATCAGCCTGTAAGGCTTGAAGTCTGTCTATCCAAGAGGCTTTAAGGTCATTTGATGGTGAACTCACCGGAGTGATCAGCTTTGACATACCTGCAACTGCTTGACCCACTTCCCCCATCAAGCATGCGGACCATTCTTGGACCAGAATTCCACAAGGGGCACTCCATCATCAACTGCATCACTTCATTCTCCTTGAGGAGCTCATCTGGCACAGACGCCTGATCAGCAGCGCAAAATGTTCTTTCCAGGCCTTCTCCAAATGCTCCATATCCAATATGCCTGCTTTGTAAACCACTTGAAAAGGTCCGGGTTTTCAAGCTCCAACACCTGACAGAAATGTCTGAGAAACCTAAACCACTTGTAACACAAGTGAAATCATGGCCTCTTCTAGCAAGTCCAGCTTGTGCTCATCAAAATCTGTGATGTGCCTGGCGACGTGTCCACAGGAAATGCCAGAAATCTTTCCGGAGATACTTAATGGCGTCCGCCGCCTCCACCCTAATAGCGATGGCCTCCAACCTAGTAGCGATGGCCTCCAACCTAGTAGCGATGGCCTCCGGTTGAAGAGAACAAAGTGTGTTTGAAAAGCCGGCAAACATGCCAGCTATGGTCTTCTCCACAAAAGTGCCCATGAGCACATCTAACTCCAACCATCCTCGGCTCTTGGCCCGCCAAGCAAGCCTCAAAGAAATCGCGAACGAAACCACACACAGTGTGTTTATGCTAAGAGTTCTTACGGTGGTGGTGAAGTCAACTTTTCGTGGCAGGTGCAGGAGCGCAGCACTGTGGACTTGTTCGTGGCAGGCGCTGTGGAGATTTCGTTTCAAGTGCAGATATGCGCTCTGGTTCTCACTTATGTGCTCTCACTGCACTCTCATACGCTAGCCCTCATATTCTGTTATGTGTGCTCTCATATGTGTTCTCATATGTCCTCACATGCTCTTTTGAATCTTTTGCTCTCTTTTGTGCGTGCGCCAATTGTGTATAGTTGTGTGCCCTCATATGTGCGCCGTAGCTGAGCACTGCAGTGCCAGTCCTTGGGCGTCTGCGCAGCTGGGCACTGGGACGTCACCTTGAACGCATTACGGACAGTCCATGGGTGCCAGCGTGTACAGCTTGGATGTCCATCATGTTCCTTTCCTCCTTTTTCTTCGTTATGCGTGCCGTTAATTTCAGAGTGCTAAGTATTCAGTAACTAACTTGCCATTGTTGAAACATCTTCAAGTACCTGACCTTTCACCTTTCCGTTCTGCAGTAACACTTCTAGTTTCAAGTCAAGTGCTAAGTATTCAGTAACTAGTTTCCGGAATTTCAAAAGTGATTTAGCTCTTGCGAGCATTGATTTAAGTGTGTCTCGCAGCATCGTCCCATTGCAGTGTGCTGTGTGATCCCCGCCGAGACGCATACATTCACTGACCATTCGTCTTGCTTGAACACCACTGGCGCAGCTGTCTGCTTGAGATCGCCGATATGATGCTGCAAAGCCCACTGAAACAACTCTTCAAAGAATGTCATGACATGCGGCTAGTGTATTCTCATGCCATGCGGCTAAGTAGTCATTTGATTTTGTTTTCTCTCCTGCTCACCCTTCTGGCTTTCTAGGTTTTCTTTTGTCGCTAGAGGCTGTTTAGGTTCCAGGTTACCTTTTTGTCAAGTTCACACTGAATAATTCGTGCACGGTCTTCCTTTTTCTCCTTATATGACTTTTCGTTTCTTTTCTGGTTTTCGTTCGTTGCTAGAGGCTATTTAGGTGTCAGATAAATTTTTAGTCAAGGGTGCGCCGATTTCAGCTTTCTGGCCAATGCCTTTCGGCCCGTGCCTTTCACCCCACCCCACACACACCCCGCACTTCTTTCGTTTGTTAGGTTTTTTCTCAATCTGGTTAGGTTGCGTTTAGGTTCGTTTAGTCGACGCACTTTTTTCCCCCCCTTCCCGCGGAGCCGATTCGGCGCTGTGTGTGTGTTTCCACTCCTGTCCCAAAGGAACAGTGTACAATTGGCCGCTGTGGCCAATGAAGACCGGCGGTGGCAGGTGTGTAAACGTACCTGCAGCAGTGGCCCTGGACGGCAAACCCCTTCAGCGCGGGCCGTAGCTGGACGCTGCAGTGCCAGCCCTTGGGTGTCTGCGCAGCTGGGCACTGGGACGTCACCTTGAACGCATTACGGACAGTCCATGGGTGCCAGCGTGCACAGCTTGGATGTCCATCATGTTCCTTTCCTCCTTTTTCTTCGTTATGCGTGCCGCTAATTTCAGAGTGCTAAGTATTCAGTAACTAACTTGCCATTGTTGAAACATCTTCAAGTACCTGACCTTTCACCTTTCCGTTCTGCAGTAACACTTCTAGTTTCAAGTCAAGTGCTAAGTATTCAGTAACTAGTTTCCGGAATTTCAAAAGTGATTTAGCTCTTGCGAGCATTGATCTAAGTGTGTATGTGTGTGTGTCCACCCCTGGACAAAGGGTTTTCCACCACCACTCCTTACAGGCAGGGGCGTGTGGCACTCCCGCCCTACCACACGCAACGAAGCTGTGGGCGGGAGTGGGAAGCAGGGCCTGATCAGCCCTGCGTACCTGCCGTTCTATCAAGCTGTGACTCCACTCTTCCTTTGGTTTGCTGTCATGGTGGTTCCATGATAACTCCCCAAAACCTCCCCTTTGCCGCGTTTGTCTTGCAGCTGAGCCGCGCCGACCGATCGTTCAGCAGACTTAACCAACAACTTGTTGAAACACCTACAAGTCTTTCGGACTCTTCACCATGCAGTTCTGTCACCTTCCTTCCCAGCGTGGAAACTGAGTTCACTGAATACAAGTGTCAGAGTGTGTTTCGCTCAGCCGTCCCACTCGGGTGCTGAGTGTGATCCCCGTCATAGGGGCGCGGTTTTACATCGGAAAGCAACCACCCCAAAGCACCACCACTCATTGGACCCTCACAGGCAGTCACCGACACCCTCACCGAATCAACCGATACACTGGCCGCCGGGCCCAAAAACGGTCCCTTTCGAATACATCAGATTTCAGATTTTGGATCTCTCATGCTTGTTTTTCCACATGTTGCCATCTTATATTAATGCCGTGACCTTTTTATCAGCAGAACTCAAGCTTGTGCATTGGAGTTCTCCAATCTAATTCGAGATGCATGATCACACTTGACAACAAGCTCACATCCAGCACCACCTTACAACACACTCCCCGTCAACACGAGCGATGAGATTTTCAACAACATTATGACAGTACAACTCGGCACTTTTCCGCCGCATCCTTGCTGCTGCGCCGCGCCGTGCCATAGCGACGACTACGATATGCATTTTCCATGGCCATACGCTCACGCTACACCACCACCATTACCTACCACGCAACCTCAACCCACATGGCCGCTGCCACAGCCGCCAACTGCACCCACCTTTCCCTCGCCACAACCATCGGCATACCCTCACCCACAACCACAACCATTTCAAGCACCACCTATTTTGCCCAGTCCAACCGCCACTGCACTAACCTACGGCACTCCGTCCACCTGGACGTTTGTGCAACCATCTCAAATGCCACCGCAACCCACACACCCAACTCCAGTGTTTCCATCCGCAGCACCTTCCCCTTCATACATTTTGCCACAACTACATCCCACACCACCTGCTGAACCTACCCCCACTACACAGACACAACCCCTTCCAACACCACAACAAGCAGCAGTTGCCCATCATCCATCCACAGACCCACAATGCGCCATCCCCCAGGGAGTTTGGCAACCTTACTCAGTCTTTCCCCCAGTCACACAGCCTCCACCCCAACCGTTGCCTCCGCCGCCCCCCCCCACAAGCCATCGGCGCCCCACCACCATTTCAGCCCTCACTCCCACAACAGGCGCCATCGGACCCCACAACACTGGTCCAACACGTCACCACAACAGCCACGGACCCTTCAGTACCGGTCCAAAACGTGACCCCTCCAGCCACTGGCTCCCAACCTTCCGAATCACCATCCATTGCATCAGCACCACCAGCTCCTGTGCCTTCACTACCTGCAACAGACAAGCCCGACAGCACCGCCTCACCGGCACCACCACCACCTTCCCCACAGCCACCACACAGCAGTCGCCGCCACCACCACAAGAGCCGTCGACATCACCGCCACTCAAAGCACCACAGCACAACCCGGCGACGCCGTTCACCCTCAACATCCACTTACACATACAGCCTTACACCATCCCGCAGCCGCTCACCACAACCCATCGACTTACGCCCCAACACTGAACACACCAACACCGACCCCTCTCAATATCCCACCACAGCAGTCCTTCGTCGCCCAATCAACCGTTGGCGACCTCCACCCAACTTTCACACTTTTTCACCTGCAGACCAACTCCTACAATGGTTTGAATTCCACGCCAACCAACTCGACACCCCCAACCGACCACAGCACCAGTACATTGCCAATCTCCTCAACGACTGCAACATCACCTACAAAGAGATCACCGATTTCCGGCAATATACCCACACCAAGTGGAACGACACCACTCGCCAATATGACCAATTCCAATACTACGCCATCTCACTTCCTTTCCTCAACACAAAGGCCACCACACCTGAACCACCCGCGGTTTCCCGAGCCACATCAACCCACCGGGAAGTCGCCCACATCAACGCCGGCCACACAGGCCCGGTCGGCAACATTGCCAACATTCTACGCCAAGGTCGATTTTTACCCAGCACACTTCACTTTGCCAACTACCCTGGCTTTTTTGCCCAGGGTGTCCGCATCACCCACAATCAACCCCATGATCAGAGCGAATTTGCTCGCATCACCCACAACACCTGGCAACTCCACAAGAACTCCCACTCCCTCATCATCACACTCCTTGCTTGGGGTGCCGCCACAAAATACACCTCCGGAGGGGAAGAACATGCCATGAACCTCCTCAACGATTACCACGGCGCCGTCTTCCACCAGAAGGGCCGCTGCTGGGTGATCCACCCAGACCACGCCATCGTCAAAGGACTGGCCTGGTCCACTGACTCCACTCCACCCGACATGTAACACCACCGTCCAACACCTCCACACTACTACCACCTCTACCTCCACCTTTTGTCTCACACCACCACACAAACCTTCGCCTATAGCAGCAAAAAAGCCCTTTACAGCGGCCATGCGGATTTTGCGCTTTCAACTTTTCAAGCTCTGAGGGTTTCGTTTTGCAGAATGCTGCTGTGCTGCTGCCGCCGGCTGCTGAGCGAGCGCCTAGTGAGAACAGTCATCCGGAGAAATCTCCACACACGCCTGTTGGCAGTTATTTCATATGATCTGTTTCACCCCGCTTTCTCTCCGGCGTGCTACAGGACAAATCCTTTGACATGCAGTGACAAGTTGTTTTCAGGTCCTTCTGCTTTCGCCACTCTTTTCGGAACCTTCGGTTTTTCATTCCCTCAGGCTCACTCTAGCACAACATGTCACCATGTTTCCCGCAGCCTTTTGACCGAACTGTTTTTCCATAACTGCTCGCCGCCTCTGCGAGATGATGCCTAGCGATGATTTACGAACCACACTACCTCCCCATTCAGCGACAACTACCATCTCCTCTGACCCACCCACTACACACCACAGATACTACTTACCGGACAATCCAATGCCATATTTGGCCCCATCAGTGACACACCAGCCCGAATTACTCTTGCTCCACTGGATGATC